ACTGGAGTAGTTTGAGTTCAAACGAATCAGGATAAAAATAACCTTGTCTTTCTATTATTGTTGTGCCTTTAAGAAAAACAAAAAGAGAAACGTATTCAACCCCCCTTCTAAGTGTTTTCTCCACCTTCATAGAAATGGTATCATATCCATAATATTTCTAATTCCAAATGTAACTTTTAATTAGTTAGAAATATTTCTTTTTTTCTCGAGCATTGCTCATGGCCTTTTGTAGGCGGATTCGACCCCTAGTGCTCTTTCTTAATGAAATTCCCTGCTTATAAAAAAAAAAATCTAAATTTTTACTATGCTTGTCATTCTCATTCCTTCAAATCAACCTTTAATCAACTTAAATTTTTCATTTAGTACATAGCCCACAACCAGAAACAAAAGAATGTCATTTCCCTCTCACAAAATCCTCATAATCTTAAAAATCATACCAACACTTCAGCATGCGAAACAATCGAGGTCCTAAATTCACCAAATCGATGCACATAAACATCGGTCAATGATCCGATAAACCATGAATTAGTGCATGTTACGCGCAGTTTGGTCAAACCTCTCACCACTTATCGGACAGTATAAACAAACAATGACAATTATCATTTGCAGATTCAAACAATTACAATTACAATTACAAAAAATTTAAAAATGAACAATAATGACAGAAAGGAACTTGCCTAACTTGGAGAAATACACCACATTTATTTTTACTACATTCATGACTCAAGGTGAGAAAATGAAGAGAAAGAAAAAGCCTATATATATTTTCTGCTATCTTTCTTGAGTACAACATATTTTATGTGCTGACTCTATATATACATTAAAATGATATGTCTGTGCTTTTCCAATGACAATTGTAGCTCTAAGTCCTTGCTTGATTCTTCATTGAATTTATGATCAAAATAAGAGCTTGATAATAAAGTCACATTTGGAGAAGATTATTCACAGTAACTGTTACAGAATTTGTCCGCTGTAAGTCCTGCACAATATCAAAAGCTTTAGATTCAATATAATTAGGGGTGGCAAAATGGGGTCCGACTTGTTGAACATGCCAATTTTGCTCGCACTTTTTCGTGAGGCAGACTAAGGTTTTAGGCCCGCATCATCTAATATGCCCGCCCCGCACCATTTTTTTTCGGGCTTCTGCCAGCGGGCCCATCCCACCCTCATTTTCTTGCAGGGTTGGCCAAGGTTTTAAGCCTGTGCCTTACATGATGTTCGCCTCATTCCGTCCCGTTTTTCTGTGAGCTTTTGCGGGGTGGGCCTAAATGGAGGCGGACATGCCCGTTTGCCACCCCTAAATATAATACATCAAGCATGCATTTTTTTTCTTAATCAATATTATCTATGGAAGATGGTGGTCAACGGCTGAGTCAAAATCTTGTCATACCAGGCGCTTTGTGGAGCTGTCATAGCAGATTATGGAGGAAAAATCCCCAATATTGGCCGATATTTACCATTGCGGTGAGCTCAATTAAAGTATATAATGCAAAAAAGTCAAAAATACCTGGAATATCATGTCATCTGGAATATGAGGTAGAACCTCCCGAACTGTCTCGGCCATAGCAAGTACATTTGCTACATTATCATTTGCAGATCGTGAATTGGTCCTTATATGTAAGCCGCCATTTCCTCCTGGCAATCTTACACCAGGTGAAGGAACGGTCGTCGCACTTGGAGCACTCGCAGAAGCCTGAGATGGATTAATAGGCCAAAGGTTCCAAGAAGCATCATCGAAGGTGGTTTGAGCATAGGTTTCTCCAACAGATGCAAGATGTCTCATCATCATTTGAACTCTTCCGAGACCTACTGTTCTGATAGCGGTAGATGGACCAGCTCCATCAACACCCGGATTTGGCCAAGAATGCAACCACCCTGAGTCCATTCCTGCACCCCTAGATACGGAAAAGTAAAATGAGCAAAAAAGAATGCATCAAATACCACTCCGTAGAAAAAAGACAAGAAGGCCATGTATGATGGAGTTTGAAGATTGCACCTCCAAGGAGCGCCTTCGGCATTATTCGGTGTCTGATTTGGAAACAATCCTGCAGGCATGTTATGTCTAGCAGAGTTTTGACGATCAAATCCTGCACTTATTTGCCGTGCAAGTTGCTCGTCACTAGATATTACCCCTGTACTGGAATTCGTTTCATTTTCAGGTCGGCCTGCAAAAAGCGGCTTTCGGCATGTTGGACAAGTATATATCTCAGTCAGGCCTTGATCCAACCTATAATCAATTCAGCAACAAATAGTATCACTGTAACGAACACAAATAGAAACCGATAAGAGTTTATAAAATTAAACCATACCAAGATCTCAAACACGCAAGATGGAAGAGGTGATTGCAGTTTAGCTTTTTCGCCTTAGCCATTGGTTCCTGTCATAATCACGTTAACATATTACTCGAAACTCGAAAGTATATCCAACCAACACCAAGGATCAATCAGAAAGATAGAGATTCGGCAAACAGCATACTCTACAAATAGCACATTCATCGTCGTATGCTCTTAGCTCCTCCGTGGTTGCATCAGGAAGAGCTGCATGAAGTGACCCTAGAGCTATCCTCAGCCTAATAAATCCTTTTATGCGGTTTATTATCGCACTAAGCAACGCCTGCTCAAAAAACATCAATGAGTACAGGTAGCAGAATATGCAATCATCGGTTAAATTTCTATGGATGGTAAAATTTATGTCAAATAATGAGTAGAATATTTACACGTATATTTAAAAATAGCACTGCGTCTACAAGATGGAAAGCCATGCCATGAAGCCGCCATATATACAAGTAATGACCAAGTGCCATGAAAAAAGTTGCCATGTCAAGGAAAAATCCCAAGTTCCGGATAAGAACTCCCTTCCATTCCAATAAAGAACCTACAGTTACACCACTTAATTAGGACGCTCAAATGGAAAAGTTAACAGACATGTTATCACTTTTCGATAGAAAATGAGTAAAACAGGAGTGTGCATATTCTTAATGCCACAATCCGATTTTTATGCAAATTACCTGCAGTTAATGTGTCAAGCAGTTTAGGTGTTCGGAAACCACTACTACTGCAAGCCGAATGATGAATCCATATGTCAAGCAACTGAAATCCATGTACCAAAATGGCCTACAATTCGAATCACACCATAAACAATTTCATTAAACAAGGTATGATACGAGCAAAACTCAAATATACAAAGATGCATTTTAAATACCTGTAGGGTTTCGAAAGCAATACTTAAAGGCTCAAAGAACAGTAACAGAAACATAGAGGACCCATGTGTTGTATATATTGAAAGACAAAGCCTTATCCTAGTAGCATAAAAAGGAACGTGTCAGAAGATTTTAAAGATATAAAATTACAATAACAAAAGTGATTGAATCTCCGCTGTGATAATGATAATACCAAGCAAAATTAAACAAGCTTGTATTGAAAAAGAGTAAGAAGTACCAGAGAACATCAACTAAGAAAATGAACAACAATGCTGAATATACACGAAGATATGTCCATGGTGTGGCGGATGGTGATGCATTCAGTCGCTCCAATCGATCTCTAGCCAGAGCTTGAAACATCTATGGAAAATATGTAAAACATGTGCAACAACGTGTTAATAAACATTTTCTGCATATAAATTCTCAACGGAATAATTTCAACTTGGTCTCTTCTAGTATAATATAAACACCTTTAAAGAACAAAGCACGGCCAACCAAGCTGTCCAAAGACCTGCCTGATAAAGTGTCGGTGGCACTATCAATGGAAGAAATGTCCCCTGTTCATTCATGCACCGGCACATAATAAATAACAATAAAGTAGCATCGGTTTGTGATTCATCAACATCAAGGAACACTGGCATTGACCTTGTCAACTAGCTCATAAAATGTTACAAATACTAATCCGACATACCGATGAAAATATTACACCTTCGAATAAGAAATGAAAAAAGGAGGCCTAATCAATGGAGTACATCCAAATCATAAAGTACTATTTTGACGAAACAACTACTTTGCTAAACTAACTTGCCAGAGTAAGTTTGCAGGGTGACAAATTTCATAATACCACAGAAATTCAAAAGCACTAACCTTGTAGATGACATAATTAACAAGGCGTTCAACCAATTTACGAGATTCAGAAGGATACAACTCGGCGAAAAACATAGCCTGCATGTGATAAGAAGGACGATGAACAGAAAGAACGATGTCGATAAAGGAAAAAATTATTTATACTACCATGGAAAAAAAATCATGGACACCCATGTCCTGCTAAAAGTAATGTAACCACATGTGTCGGCGTCCTAATGGTGTCAAACACCGACACCTGTCGGACACTAGACATACCTTCAAACTGAAATGTCGGTGCTACATATAGCAACACAAAAAGAATGAAAATCACACTCAAGAACTAGGCCATTCTACTACGGAGAGACACTAGTTTCACCCTCTATCTTAGTTTGAAATAAATCAGGAAAATTTCTACAAACAATATTAAAATACACATCATTTGCCAGAAGTATTGAACCCGCAAACCACACCACATATCAACATGTTGCATAATCTATAAATACTTCATATTAGTAACTAGTAGTAGTGACTACTATTCCACAAAATCTCACCTTGAGACAAAGATTGAGAAGGACAAATACATTGATCATGCAATTCGTAAACAACCCTATGGTGGTATACAAACCCAAAGGTAACTCAACATCCTGGTCGACATTATCCAAGTGAATCGAATTCCAGCCAACTAGTCCATCTGATTTAACTTTTTCTAATGAAAAATCTGTGCAAAACTGAAGACCTACAAAACTTAACACTGTCGAAACCGCCGAAATAGCTATAAACTTCAGAGCCATTAGTAGTAACAATAATAACAACTTCAGCCTCTCTACTAACACCAATCTCCTGGAATTTCATCTGACTTCAATCATTGCCGCCCTTTGTCCATAACGAATATAGTCCAACATCAAATGGAACCAGAGGGCAAAGTTTCTGAAATCAGCTTAAAACGACGCCACTGTCATTCAGTTACCATCTCAGGTCTCCAAAAGAAATAAGATTCCCTAACAAGTGATCAGCAAAAAAAATCAAATACAAAATTGAAAACTTTGAACTACTACCAAATTAAATTGTAATGTTAAATTTTCAATTCAACAATCAGAGTTAGAACATGAAAATATGAATTTTTCAAGATCAAATTTTAATTTCTAATTCAATACAAACACACACAGGGAAAACAAAATTGATGCAATTACAATCAAAAATTTCTCCACAACACAAAATCCACCTACCCATCATTGAGATTCCAACTAATCAAGTTCCAAATCACAAGAACCCTAAAATCATATACTAAAGAGGATTGATTATATGAAACAAAAGGGGAAAACCCCAATATCCGAAATCAATCAGAAAACTCAAAGGGTGATTGAGGAACAAATAAAAATCGTTTTTTTCGAAATGAATAAATGCAAACAAAAAAAAAAACAAATTGAGGATTGAAAAAATGAAAAATGAAGAGAACCTGAGTCGATCTAGAAGGTGGGTGGGGTAAGGAGGGTTGGGGTTTCTGCAATTATCATTCGCAATTGAGAATCAAGACAAAGACCAAACACAGAGAGAGAAAATTTAGGCAGAAAGAAAAAAGAGAGAATATATATATCTGGTCAATACTTTTGTGTAAGGTAAAAATTGAAAGTATAGGTTAAAAATTTATCATTAACTTGTGAATATTAATTTGTATGGTAACGATAAGAGTATATAACTACTTATATACTCTAATCTTTTATTAAAATATAAGTTCAAAATTAATTTATTTATGATATCTATTTATATTAGATGCAATGATTAGATAGGTAAAAATGTAAATTACAAAATGTCAATTATTAAATTAGATTCAATCATTCGGAGTAAATTAAAAAAATTTACTATTGGACTAAGATAAACCTAACTTTTATATATATATATATATATATATATATATATATATATATATATATATATATATATATATATATATATATATATATATATATATTCATCTTTCATGAGGTCTATTAACATGACACTAACACTGAATCTAATTTGTAAATATGTATTGAACTCTCGAGGTCTATTAAAATGACACTGACACTCCATATAGTTTTTAGTGATAGTAAAAAATCGTAGGCATATATAACATATATTTATGGTTTTTGATTTGTCAGTATAACTTTTCATTGGTATATGTATGCTTAGGGACAGTCAGTGCATGATTTTAAACTAGAGGGGGTGTCAGTGTCTTTTTAACAAATTTCAGAAGAGGTGAGTGTAATTTTCTTATAAAAATAACACAACACAAAAACTGAGCCTTTAGGGTAAAATAACTTGGTCTGATAGGCTCATAAATCCAAACTCTTATATGAGTGCCCAGCTCTTTATAGTACGTGTATTGATGCGGGTCTATTCATATATTCTAGAGAGTGGATATCATATCTTATATCCAGTCGGTAGGGCAAAGTCTAAAGGACATTCCAAACATGTTTATTTACCTGGGTAGTAAAAAATATATTATATTATGTTAATACAGAATATATCTCTTAGGACTTTACATATATCGAATTCTCTATTGAAGCCGTCTTGTTCTATATTGTATGATAGGTCGTGTAGTTATAGATTGTATGATAGTTCGTGTTGTTTGACATTTATTTATGGGGCGTCTAGAGGGTATTCACGATATAATCGTGTTTTTAGTAAGATATTGAGCTCTATTAGTGATAAATATATAAAGAAATTTTATTTTAAAATTAAGATTGAATTATCTAAGGCGGCACGAAAAGTCATTTATTCCAAACCTTTTAAGATCTGCTGTTACAATATCGTCGCGGTATTTTTGAACCTTGTTTGGTATCCGGACAATGTGTCCTCGATTCTCTTATTGGTGGGGGCTTCCTCGGCCATATATTATATATTTTTCGCTATAAGTGACGAGGAAAGAATACTCACTCTTATTTATTTTATCTTTAATAACTTAACTGTATTCTTTCTTTTACAAATGTCGGATCCATGCTGCTTCCTTGTGGGGCTCTTTCTCCTAATGTTAGCTTCTTTTCATCTATTATTGTTTTTTAGTTATGATCTTATATTTGATTTCATTTTTATTGCTGTGCTCCTTTACCGAATCTTCTATCATCATCAAATTGCTTTATGGGGATTTTCTCTGGTGACCGAGTTGATGTTTATAAGGCTCTTCTTCAAATTATGTCTTAAAAAAGAAGTTAGATCTGAAGAAGGATCTAGAATCGAACCTTTATTCTATTTGATACCATTCTTTGGAATCTCTTTTATTAATCTTATTTATTTAGACTACGGTCTAATGAACATACTCATTCACATATTATTCCTTTTCGCGGACGCGGCTCTTATCTTTTTTACATTTTTTGCCAATAGAAAACAAGAACTAATAATTTCATTTATATTGTATAATCTAGGCAATTTAGCGATTGGTTATTACCTTTCAATATCACTCATGACGTTTTTTAAAATAAGTGTCGTTTTCCTGGTAACCAATGGAATGTTCGCTAGCGTCTATTTTATGAAAGCCCGAAGGTTAAATAAGCCCTTGTTCGAAATACTCGTCGCGAATAATCGAGAGGGCATCCAATCCCTCCTCTTAGTGTATATTCTTATATTAGAAGTCCTGCTGACCCAATTAAATCCGGGGTCCGCAGCTAATGGTATGTATTCGAACTGGATTGTGTGGCTCGGGATTAAAATCGGGTTCCTGACCGCACTCAACTTTTTATTAAAAAAATGAGTTTAGTCGGACCAGGACCTATTAGTTTCGCTCAATTACGATCCATACTCAAACATGTTCGTTCGACGCCTCAACTCCCCTCTGCCACACATCTCTTTCCTTCGCTCTAGACCCTGTAAGTGATGATTTACCTTTATATATAACGGAATTAGATGAATTAGATGAATTATATGAATTAGATAAACTAGATGAATTATATGAATTAGATAAACTAGATGAATTAGATGAATTAGATGATTTAGATGAATTAGCATCAGTAGTTAGAGGTGCTATAGCTTTCCCTTTATTGAGCCTTGGTGGTAAATATATACCATTAGCAGTTATTGGTAAAATATGAATTTCCTTATAATCAGTAGTAATAGGTAAATTATTAATATCATTAGCATCACTTTCTGATGATATAGCATCATGATAACTAGTATTAGATGAATTATCATCACTAGCATATGCATCTGTATCAGTAGTACTATTAGACGATTCATTGTTTCTGGAGCGCCATAACCATTTGATATAACACCTAGCACCATAAATAAATCTATAACCACCCGAGCTAACAATCAATCTCTCACTACTCGAACTATGAAATAATCTCTCACTACACGAACTATCTAACAAGCTAACATTACAGTGGAACGATATAGTCTTTGATAGGACACAGTTGATCTTCCGCATGAACATAATGGTAATTTGAATCTACTCAGGGAAATACACTTGTTTGGAATGTCCTTTAGACTTTGCCCTACCGACTGGATATAAGATATGATATCCACTCTCTAGAATATACGAATAGACCCGCATCAATACACGTACTATAAAGAGCTGGGCACTCATATAAGAGTTTGGATTTATGAGCCTATCAGACCAAGTTATTTTACCCTAAAGGCTCAGTTTTTGTGTTGTGTTATTTTTTAACGAAATACGAACAGTTAGCATAATATTGGTCCCGGCCAAAAACTCTTAAGGTGTTACAATCATTCTAGAACTTTCTCTGCACGCAAGAATTATCCTACTAATGATTGCAAGGGATAAAATTCCAGGTGCATCCAACGATTCTCCATGATTCATGCATGACAAATAGAAATTTATTTATTCTCTCTACTATATATAGAGAAAGACGCCAATTCAAGTACTTAGTTTCAAACTCAATTTTAATTTACTCTTCTCCTCCACATACTTACTTTAGCGTTGGAGTGATAACTTTGCAAGTCACATCCCCCCTCTGTCGCACCGGAAGCTCATATCTAGCATTACCTTCCATTTTTACTTCACTTCTAATTCCAGTATGTGACAATGACACCGTCTGTGAGAAAGGACTTTTGATTCCTATGTTTTCCATGATCTCGCGTTCGCTACTCGACTCGTCAATCTGAAACATTCTCAGGTAATCTAATCGAGAGCATTTGAAATCAAACTTGAAGATTTGTCTCCTTCGATTCAATCAAACATTGTTTCAACTCCGATTCCCTAAATTTATAGATCTCTAATTCCCACACTTCCAATTATGGTTGGACTCAAGCTACTCATTTCATTTCTACATGAGAAGTTGTCGCAGCTCAAGCAGCGATCAATCAACAACCTTCACCTCCTTCATAAAATATTGTGAATCTAGAAACAAAGGTTATGTTGCATCCATATTTGGTCCAAACTCCTCAAATAGTTGGATATGTCATATTGCCTCCGATTAAATCTTAGATTTCACCTCTAGTGTCACAACCTGAAGTCTTACCTGGATTTCAACTATTGTGTGTGAGTACAACTTCACCATTAGATGTTTTGCATGATGTCAAAACTAGGAAAACTTAGTATTTATGTATATTGGAAGGTATCTCAATGTCTTGTAACACTCCTACACATTTAGAGGTCTTAGGAATCATTGGAAACATAGTCAAAACTGACCCAGACACAAAAAAATCATTTTCTGCACTAAAAATGCATTTACATGTCGGCTCATAAGTCATTACAGGCCGGCTCATGTGTTGTCCTACATAAGTTGTTTTCTTATGTCCTGGTTAGGCCAGCTCATAAGCTATTTCAGGCCGGTTCATGTATTGTCCTAAATAAACAGTTCTTTTCTGTTTTGATCAGGTCGACTCATATGTCATTTTAGGACGGCTCGTGCTATTAAAATTAACACTATGAGCCGGCTCATCCAAGATACAAGTCGGATCATACTATTTAAAGGGTCAAATTTTCTATTTTTCTTTTAATTTTGAATTTCCCTCTTTTGTCCCAATATTTCCATAACTATAAATACATCTTTCATGCATCATTCCAACTTGATAATACCATAAAAATTTCTTGCAATTGCTCTTCACCTTTAACCTTCAACCTATACAGACACACTAACAAACCATTATAACAATATTTTATTGGGATGTGTAATACGGTGCAAGAACTGACTTTACTGATTTTTATATTTTATCACAAATGTTGCGGTTAGCAAGAGTCGCAACCAACTTTTCTTTTATCCAACAAAGGAAAGGGTGAAAAGAATGGGAAAGACCTTTTTAAAGATTTTGAGTTCGGGGGATAGGTTATGGAAAGGGAAGGTGTTAATACCCTTTCCATCTGTAGTTATCTACGGGTTCTTAGTTGCTAGCTCACTTTTGAAAATGCTTTGTGTTTGTGTGTGAAAATATTTTTTAAACGACGTCTTAGTACGGCGAACTTTGTAATGTTTCTCGTATCGTTGAGAACGTATACAAAGTGTTTCTTGTCTTTGAAAATATTTAGAAAAGAGTTTGTGTATGTGTGAAAAATTGTTTTGCTTGTTTTTGTGAGCAAGCAACTACAAGCGCTCTACCTACTCAAATGGTCTTTGTTCTTTTCCTCTTTTCCTTTAGACAATGTATCCTACTATTAGTCAGTAGGTAGTCCTGTCGTTGGATGTTTTGAGGGACAAGCGAGGGTCATTGTACAGTCACGGAGGCAATTTGTGGGGCACTTTAGCAATTTTATCGTGAGGGACTAGATCATTTACCGAAGGTTGCATCGAAGGGTCATCGAGGGACTACAGTCTTTTTAACTTAGGGTTTGTGCTAAAGTGTCCCACGTTCGAGGGATATGAATGTTTTTCCGAAGGCAACAAGTGGAGGTACCTTAGAGGTGCTCGTGTGTGAAGTGTGTTATGTTTCAGTTATGTTTATCTTGAAAGTTAGGTTTGCTAATGTTTGTTTTTAAGTCTTTCCATACAAGTCTATTAGCATACATCTAGCAGTTAATTATATATAAGTACGGAAAATAAAATGCGAAAAATTGAATCTACGCTATTACAAAGCTTCGGGATGGGGGAAATTACAAACCAAAAATGGGGAAAGAAAAAAATGTAAAGGGTCCTAAATTAAGCTATTATGACCTTTGGACAATTACATAATTTATGAAAATAATGCGAATAAAAATAGATGAACGCGCGAAGAAGAAAAGAGGAGAAAGATGTAAAACCTAAAAATAATCTAAGTGATAAAAAGAAATATTTTTTGTTGTTTTTGTATTAGAAAAAATAATAATTAAATTAATGGAAACCTAATTCTAATTAGTTTAATTAATTCAGAAAAAAGATGATTAAATAATTAATTAAATTAATTAGAAAAAACTTAAGTCTAATATTTTTTTGTGATTTTTTTATTAAATGTTTTTTTAATAGAAAAAAGAAATTAATTGAAATAAAAGAAAATAAATAAATCAAAAAAGACAAAATGGGTCGCGCTGCAAAAATTAAAATGAGGGGTGAGAAAGAAGCAGAATTAAAAGCCCAAACTGGACAAAGCTCAATTCTGCATTGGATCCAGTGTGGATAACGTCTTGGGGTGCACTACGGGGACGCGCCTTTGAGGCTTAAGATCTGACATTTTCAGATTCCGGCGTCAAAATTTAAAAGCAATGGTTCTAAAACATTCTAAACATCAGTATGAACATGCATGAACGCTTATAAACCATTTACAACGTAAGAATTGAGAGTTTGTAATTAAGAATTTTTACCCAACCAGAGCTACTTGGTGCGACTATTTTGGGCGTGGATTGGCTTGGCAAGAGGCCTGAGTAGACTCCTGGAAGTCTCAGAAATGTGATTTGCCCACTTGTTTGGACTGATAGCGCCTGGGAATATAGCTGCGAATTCTTGCAATTTTTAGCAATTTTTGAGAATTTTGTAGAGCTTTCTTGTAACTATCTATGTGTGTGCTTTTAGGCTGGCATGGTATTGTATTTATAGAGGGAAGGATGAGAGCAGACCAACATGGAAAGAATCAAGTCTTAACCATGGCTTTAAAATCAAAATCAAAAATTTGAAAAAATGCCAAAATTATATTATTCTTGCCACTTTTGATTTCTGCAAGAACCTGGTCATTGGTGATGTACCTTGCACGAATTATTGGGCTTCATAATTGGTCAAGTCAAGCCCAGATGCCTTAGCCCATTATTTCTTGTATTTTCATTTAATTTATTTGATTTTAACTTAAATAAAATCAAGATAAATATAAATAAAAAAATAAAAATCAAGGTCATGCAAAAATGGACTTAGAAGTCCTCTAAGATATTATGGACATGTTTGAACATCAAAAACTAGGCTCATAGGTTCAAAAATGCAATTTTGCTCAATTTGTACTTCATGAATTTCTTCAAAATTCCCCAACTTGTGCAACTCATAACTTGCTCAATTTTCATCTTTTGAAGATGATCTGGGACTTTTTATAAATCCTAAGATGTCCTCTATAATATTTATGTTGATCATTTTTTCTTTTGAAGACATTATATAGATGTAAGTTGCCTTGACAAAAAGTGTCTTTTGTTGACTTTCGAAAATGACCTATAATGTATGAGTTCATATCTTCCAAATGAAGCATTTTTTGGACTTGAGAATAAAATCAAAGTTATAGAGAATTGAATTTCCTTCAAAATGGGCTTTGGTTGAGAAAAAGTTGATGAAGCGTGTGAAAGTTATGCCTGGTCAAAGTTTAGTTGACTTCTTCTAAGGAAACCTTAATTTGGCAATTCTTGACTTTTGATGATCGGAGGACTTTCCTTGGGGAATCATGATTAAACCTTGATCAAATGATGAATAGCACTTCAAAATGTTGATGTTGACCAGAAATATTGATGTTTGACTGCATGTTGACCATAGTTGACCTTTTGACCAATATAGTTGATTTTCAAACATTTGAGCCATTGACTGAGCAAACTTATGATGGAGGGCTTGAAACTTGACATGAACCTTGTTAAGGACCTTCGGAGAATGATGGAAGCCACTTATGACCTTTTCAAACCAATTTTCTTTGAGAAACTCCAAACCCTAGTTGTAGGCCTTTGGTTTAGGAGGTGCATCTTGATTAGTCAACCCTTGAGTGTTTTGAGAAGCCTTGAAAGAATGTCTTGAAGAAACATGTGAGGGAAAATTTTGGGGTACAACAGGGTGCCATCTAGACGAGATTTGATAATGTCCAATTAGGTTCTTGGGTATCCGAGAATATTGAGTTGAGATTTGCAGGGGTATTCATCCGGAATAATCACGGGTTTGTCCTCCAAGATCATTGATTGATTTAGGGGTTTTCGTGCAAAACATTTAAGAGAGGATTGTGGCCTAGTGAAAGCCTTCGGAGATAAAGAATGAAAAGGATCCTTTGGATAAAAAAATGCAAAGGAAGTAGCGCAAGAACAACGAATCAAATTGAAGTCTTATGTTG